CCATGAACAACAGTGGATGGGAGGCAACAGTATTGATTATGGCATGTGCAGTTGGGTTTGCTAAGTTCTAACAGAAAAATGACCATAAGTCATGGACTTTATTTCCCTCCCTGTAGTTCTTAGTACTTTTGTTTTTTACAACCAACAAGAAACTGCAACAATCCAATCCCTTTCCATTGTTTTACTCCTGTTTCCCTAGATGCCAAATGTTACAACGAGAACATCAGTTTTAAAGGTTGCTTTGTTTCCGGTTTTGATCATTAATATTCTGCACACCTGCTGCAGGAAACATAAAATGAGATGTTAAGATTCTAATTCTTATAGATGAATTAATGAAAGAGTCAGAAAAAGGTCCTAACTTAGATACCAGATTCATAAGAAGTTGAACAATGTCATGTCTCATTGTGAGATTAATATCCCAGTTGCAATTCCTCCTGCAACTTCATTCTTAAATCTTATTAAAATATTTTAAGAGGCTTATAAGAGGGTAAATATTCATTCATGGATGACTGCCAAATTTGTACTTAATGACAATTTTGCATTCTGGGTCATATGAAGAGGTAAACAAATCGTGTTTACATTTAAAAAAAAATCGTACCACCACTTCCCTTAAGGAATATCATGGTAAGATGATTCACAAAATACTAAAAACTTTTTTTCAATTAACAATTCATTGCTATTTCTATTTTTGTTTCAATTATTAGCTTTCACTGCTCCCTTTCCTTTTGGTCTCTTACGGTTTTTGAGATGACTTGCACTCAAAGCCTGCTGAGAAAGGCAGGCTGGGAAAACCACAGGCATTTCTCACAACCACTACACCCAGAGTGCAGCGGAGTTTGCAGCTATCTGAGCTGTAGGGCCTGATGTGTCTGCTGGCAAACAGGATTCAGTATTTTACCCTTTCTCATCCCTTCTCTCCTGGCACCAGCCATGCTGTGGAATTCCAAAAGTGTCTCATAACACTATTCAACTTTAAATCAGTCTTCATAAATCTCTTTCATAGCTTCATCTACTTTCATCGGCAGTTTGTGATTGCCCTTTCAAAACCTTTGACAAATTTCTTCCTCATAGCTGTCCTTGTACAGCAATTTTCACTGACAACGAGATGAAGTCTGTTGAACCTCTGAATGCCAGCCCTTCCACCACATTCTTGTGTCATTACAGTTATAAACTCATCCTCCCAGCACACATTCTCTGTGGGCAGGCAAAGGAAACTAAGACTTCCAAGTGATCTTTATGAGTTGTATGTAAAAGTGATATCCATTATCTGAGCTATATTTTTATCCAAGCAGGATTTCCATAAAAACTGTGGTCTGCTTTACATTTGGAAGAGGTAGTCAACACTTAATCATACTAACCAGTTCCTGAATAACAGTAGATAAACCAGAGTAAGGACTTGAGAGAACTCACTTTGCAAGCATGACCTAGTAATTAGGTAGGGCCTAGTTTGTACTGATTGTCATCACACAAGCAGCCTGAAAGGTTCTGCACCATCCTTGATGATGTTCTTGTTAAAGGGATGTAGGGGAAGAGGAGATGAGGTCAGAAGAGGCTGATCATCTCCCTCCCTCCCTCCCCATCAGCTTGACCCCAAGGTTCTTGTCACCATCAGTGAGCATCTGTGCTAGTCAGCTTTATTACTGAGTCAAGTTCTCATACTAGGAATAAAGCTAGATAACCCACGATGATGGAATTGACTTTTATTTTGTTTTAAAATCTATTATTGGATTAAGTCTCACTTTTCCCCTTTAGCCTAGCTTTATGCCCACCATTTCCTTGATTCATCAAGATTCATGATACTTTGTTTTCGGGGATGGTGATAATAATAACAAATGTTAATATTAAACTTTTCTATGTAAGTACTTTATTCTTTAATTTAAACTCACAGTTGGGATTTTAATCATCACCATTTTATAGCCAATGAACTGAGACTTATAGAAGGGTAGATGTCTAAATTAAAGGCACTCAACCATTTCATAGGGAGTCACTCAAGCCCAGGATTTTTATTCCAAAACCCTCTGCTGCTTTTACTATGTCATAGTAGCTTTCCTTGATGGAAGAAGATGACCCATTCAGGGAGATTCTTATTCACGTAGAATCAGTTTCAATTCTAAATGTGAATCCCTAAAATATACCTCATTAAAAAAAAAACTTAAATAAAATATACCAATTCAATAGCTCCTAAACATGGTAATAATGTTTTACTAAATGCTAATGTCCATAACTAATGTTGATTTTTAAAATTCTGTTTAAAACATTTGAATGACCTGCCTATGGATTAGAAAACTGTTTTCCTGTGCCTGTAGTATCTATAGCAAAGTCTGCTAAATTTGTTCTGAAGACTCCTAATTCCTAAGAAGAATGCATACAGCAGAAAAACAGCTTAATTTTCTTAAAGAACTTAGATATCATACCTGGATTTGCTCACTGAGACATCAGGAAAACTTAACACAAAAAAAAAAAAAAAAAACAAGGGAAGAAAATAAATTTGTTACTTAATTGTGACATTTTATAAACACTTGGTGACTCAAAACCAATATAAAAAATATACTCTAGAAAACAAAGCAAGAGCTTATGATACTACTATGCTGTTAAGGAAATGGAACAAACATTTATTGAACACATATTATACAGATACTCATAAAATTAACAGAAATTTACAACCCTAACAGACTGAGTGTCTCAATTTCAAAGGAATTGAAGAGCTTTCCACAGGTCTTATAAACTCTTAATGGCAATTATTAATGGCTAATTAATATATAAGTCTAACAGATTAAAAAGTCTCTGATCTTTTTACTGAGTCTTTTCAGCCATCATGATAATACTGTTTTCCTCAAATACTGTTTTCTACTCTGCAAATGAAAAATTAATAATTTCCACAAAGTAGTAGAAATAATTCTCTAGTAAGCACCCCCCTTCTTCTAGCAGGGCCCTGACCATAATCATCACCACTTCCACACCCTACACTTTCCTTCCTGCTGTCTACTGCTATCACCAACATATAGACTCTTTTAGATATGGTCTCCTCAGATTATTACTAGAGTTCTAGTTCCAATAAAATTTATTTTACTGGCACCATTAAAAACTTGCTTGAGCCAGGTGACAGTCGAATGGTGGGTATTTATGTACTGCAGTCTAACTGAATAGTTGTCTTCTCTAAGTTGGGTTATAACCAGAAATTCCACTGGAGAAAGGGCAAAGCTATTTCAGCCTCTCCTTCACAAACACAGGTATCCTGAGTACAAAAGCCATGGAAGCAGGACCTGAGTTCCCCAAACCATCATTGTCCAAAAACACCAGTGGATCATAGACATGTTGAAGGGTGACTTTTCTACTTTTCTGTTTCTCTCTAGGACGCCAGATGGTGTTACACATATTTAAGTTTAAATCCCAGGTTCAACTTTTATCAGCCAGGTGATTGAGATAAGCATTGACTCTTTCTCTCTCTCTCTGAAACCCTATTTTGCTTTCATCTGTAGAATGATAAGACCACCTACTCTGGGTTGAAGTTTAAGCAAGGTCATGTATGTAGAGCACCTAGTAAAATACCTGACCCAGAGAAGATATTCAGAAAATATCCAGTCTTCATATCTAAGTTTGCAAATAATGCCATTCACTGACAAAATGTGGCATATTGTCCTATTTTCATGATGCCTATCATAGTATTGGAAGGCATTCATTTCAAATGATTAATTTGCCTTTTTTTTAAGATTTTACTTATTTATTCATGAGAGACAGAGAGAGAGAGAGAGAGAGAGAGAGAGAGAGAGATAGGCAGAGACACAGGCAGAGGGAGAAGCAGGCTCCATGCAGGGAGCCTAACATGGGACTCGATCCTGGGTCTCCAGGATCACGCCCTGGGCTGAAGGTGGCACTAAACCATTGAGCCACCCAGAGCTCACCCGGGCTGCCCAATTAGTTTACCTTTAGAAAGGAATGATTAAGGTTTTTCTATTGACCAAGATGACTTATGTTAAGATGCAGAAGTGGAAAGGGAAAAGACAGAGGTCTGGAAGAGAAGACAATGCAGTATTATGACAAGCAAAGTGATGTGGTTAATAGTACTGGCAATAAAAATGATTTGGGCAGTTACAGAATCAATAAAGGAAGAATCTCCTGCCTGAGCAAATATTCTCTAACTGAAAGATACCTGTGAATTTGTGGATCATATTAAGCCACCATGGATTTCAAAACTGACTAAAGACCTTAAAAACAGAGTAATCACTCAACTTCTGTCATTTTAGTGTGACATCTTATATATGAACTATTATGGAAAAATCCATGTTTTGTTATAATATACTTAAAAATGCTAAAGACATCTGTGCCCATTTGCACACAACACAGCAAGAGTGCAAGAGTAACTATCAGCACATGTACGTCAGCATGGATATAGCAAATGAAGCATGGTATGCAATGAACTGTAAATACCATCCCTCAGATTATACGTTTGCCATTTTTCTGGTCTCTAATAAAGGAAATAAGTGAAGTAATTAAAGCCTATAAGCTTTTCTGGGTAAGTATTATGCATTAAAGAAGTGGAAAAAATTATCCCTACTATACGATAACTAGGAAAAAAGAAAAAAAAATTCCTAGTGCCAATGGATACTAATGGACCAGGACCCACAAGTGTATTCAAGTACACAAGAAAAGACATGAAAGAGTAGAACTCCTTGAGTTCACAAACCAGGATTTCGGCAGGCTTCCTGTGGTGTTCCAGGTCAGACAATGCCCATAGAGCACCCACGCTGAAATGGCATTAGGCAACTCCAATACCACATCTGAATGTGCTGAATCCACACAGCTAGACTTCAGGGATTTGAACTATGTTCTAGAAAGTGGTGACATTTCTGGTTGTCAACAACTTTCTTCTTCATAATCCAAACACAGATAAAGTGAACTTTGGAGATGCCCAGGCCAAAGGAAGATCAATTAAGCCTTTAAGTCTAAAAACTAGGGACCTGTCACAGTTTCTAATAATTGTGCTGTGATTACCTCTACAGCAGAGAGTATGCTACTGCCAGAAACATAAGCCAAGATAATGCTTCCAGATCCTGGTTTAATCTTCAGTTACCTCATTCACCCACCCTTCACAAACCTTCACCTTGGCAAATTTGGGTAAGTGAATTTGGCACCAAGAATTAGCTTTAGGCCAATCTGTGAAGCTCATGAAGGTTGACTGCAAACACTCTCAACTCTTTTCCATCATCATCTTTTACTTCTATTTTCCATAACCCCCTACAGAGTTTTAACAAGCCTTCTATGTACCCAAGAAAAATCTAACTCTCCTGGGTTTTATTCTGTAAGCAATACGGTAAATTGGTTTAATCAACAACTTGTTTCTAAGCAGTTAATATGTTCAGAGCCCTGGGTGCCTGGGTGGCTTAGCATTTGAACATCTGCCTTTGGCTCAGGGAGTGATCCCAGAGTCTCAGGATCGAGTCCCATGTTGGGCTCCCTGCATGGAGCCTGCTTCTCCCTCTGCCTGTGTCTCTGCCTCTCTCTGTGTGTCTCTCATGAATAAATAAATAAAATCTTTAAAAATATATATGTTCAGAGCCCATTGGAAGCACTAGGAATACAATATTGTTAAGACCTCATCTATCCTATCCTAAATGACTTTAACAGTTAGTTTGGAGGAGAAGATAGACATATGAAACAATTGATGAGAAACAGTAGACAATAAAATGTTAATGTGAGTCATGTCCCATGTGCCAAAGGACTTAAAGAAGTAAGAGATCAGAACAAGACTGCAAATTGAAATGATTTTGGGGTTGGGAGGGAGACCATAATTGAACTTTGAAGAATGAGAATTATGTGATATATGGAGAAAGTATTCCAGATGGAAAACAATTAAATCATATAAGAATAAAATAGAAGTTAGTGAATTTGATACTGCACTGCTTATCAAAAATGTGGCTTTTTATTGAAGTTTCATTTCTTCAACTCACACAGACACTAAATAGCTAGAACAATATTTTGCTGGTGAAAGCTTTGATAATCATTGAATTTATGCCTTCTTGAGGATTGTCTAGCCCCCCTGTATACACAGGCAAGCACTAGACAGCTCCAAAACCAGAACCATTTCTGGAAATACTCACCTGGACACCAGAGAAGGTAACATGCCTTTTTAGGATCAGATATGGATCTAAACCTATTTGCTTTTGTTGCTTTATCAAGAGAGGTGCTTCCTCTTAAACCAATCAACACACCACATACACAATTTTATTTTATATGTTTTGTTAAAGATTATTTTTTAGGTATCTTAACAGAGTAAAACACAAAAAAAAACCCTGTGAATATGACATTTTCACCTGAGAAAAATATTAATGCCTTGCTACACATTAGCCATGTTTATAGGACACTAAACAATAAGTCAAAAAGTGAAAAAATTTAGTCACAATACCTTTTGGCAGCAAATAGAGAAAAAAATGTAAAAACCCAGTTGCTTTTTTGAATTCAGAGCCAATTCAGAGGTTGGTTTATTTTTAAGCTAAACTTAATCAAACAGGTATTTCTGACATGTTAAAAGTCTTTCCACATGCAACTACTGTCGGGACTAAAGAAAGGCATTTTTTTAAGATTATGTATTTATTTGAGAGATAGTGAGAGAGAGCACAGCAGGGGGAGGAGCAGAAAAAGAGGGAGAAGCAGAGTCCTCATGAGCAGGGAACCTGATGTGGGGCTCTATCCCAGGACCTCGAGATCATGACCTGAGCCAAAGGCAGAAACTTAACAAACTGAGCTACTCAGGTGCCTCCAAAACAAGGCTTTATTATGGGGAATTAGTAAAATGCAGATTCCAGTTCAATAGATCTGGGATTGGGCCTGAGAGTATGCATGTCTGGAGCATGGTTTTAAATTTTTCCTGCTAATATTCACTTTGCATTTTGTTTTATATTTCAAAATGGATAGGCTTTACAGGATAAAATCCTAATAATGAATATCCTTTGTCAAAGTACACCTCCCTCAAAATATCTAGTGCATTCTAGTCTATGAGGGAAGCAGAGAAATCCCCTAAGTAGATAATAGCAGAGTAGAGACACCACCTTTAGGTCCAATCCAATTCAATCCCACTGACCTGCTGAACCTCCAGAAAGTACTAGGATAATTACTGTGAAAGATTTCACTACTGTCTCCTCCTAGAAGATAAGCTCCATAAGGGCAGAAACTTTCTTGTTTGTGACTTTTTCCCCAGCACAGAAAACACAGCTTCATGTATAGTAGGCACTGAATGCTTGTTAAATGGTTAATGGGATGAATAAATTGAAAGCAAAATTAATGATGCATGCCTCCACTCCACTAATTTTTCTTTCATATTAGCAATCCTTGGGCCCTTTACTAGAAGACTGTTTAAATCCAATCCTTCCAATAATACCTCATGCAATGGAGGCAGCTCAGGTTCCTTTGGGGGTTGAAAATCAATAACTTCTCACATTTCTACAAGACAAAGTGAAAACTAGGACACAACCTAGGGTCTGTTTTTCCATGAATATCTTAGCACATTGCTTTGAGCCAGACTCACAGCTCAGTTTTCCTAATGTTTCTTAATTAACTTATGAAAGTACAAAAGCAGGTAAAAGCAAGTTCATTTTATCATGGAATTCAAGATTCACACATAACTAACATTGAGTGTAACTGTTTTGTCTATCCTTCCTCTACTATCTATTACTTGTCATGGTTAGAGTTAACAGGGAGAGAATACACTACTCTTCCTACTTGGGAAAAAAGAGACTTTTAAATAGCTCCTTTTTAAAAAAAAAAAAAGATTTTATTTATAAGAGACACAGAGAGAAAGAGGCAGAGACACAGGCAGAGGGAGAAGCAGGCTCCATGCTGGGAGCCTGACGTGAGACTGGATCCTGGGTCTCCGGGATCACACCCGGGCTGAAGGCAGCCCTAAACCACTGAGCCACCCGGGCTGCCCTAAATAGCTCCTTCAAAAAAAAAAAAAAAGAAAAGAAAGAAAGAAAGAAAAAGAAAGAAAGAAAGAATAATAAATAAATAAGTAGCTCTTTTTCCCATCATGTTTACACTCAAAAAAAAAAAAAAAAAATATATATATATATATATATATATATATATATATATCCCAGTTAAAAAATGGACAGAAGACATGAATAAACATTTTTTCAAAGAAGGCATCTAGATGGCTTATAGATGTGAAAAGACACTCAACATCACTTATCATCAAGGAAATACAAATCAAAACTACAATGAGGTATCACCTCACACTGGTTAGAATGGCTAAAATCAGCAACACAGGCGAGAACAGATGTTGGCGAGGATTTGGAAAAAGGGAAGCCTTCTTACACTGTTGATGGGAACACAAACTGTTGCAGCCACTGTGGAAGACAGTACGGAGGTTCCTCAAAAAGTTAAAAAGAGAACTCTTCCATGATCCAACAATTGCACTACTAGGTATTTACCCAAAGGATACAAAAATACTGATTCCAAGGGATATATGCACCTCATTTATAGCAGCTTTATCAACAATAGCCAATACATGGAAAGACCACAAATGTCTATCAACTGATGAATGAATAAATAAGATGTGGTATATATGGAATATTGCTCAGCCATCAAATGAAATCTTGCCATTTGCAACAATGTGGATGGAGTTATAGGGTATTATATTAAGTGAAATAGGTCAGTTGGAGGAAGAAAAATATATGATTTCACTTATATGTGAAATTTAAGAAAGAAAACAAATGAACATGGGGGAAACGAGAGAGAAAAGCAAACCAAGAAACAGATTCTTACAATAAAGAACAAACTGAGGGTTGCTAGAGGGGAGGTGGGTGAAGAAATGGGTTAAATCGGTGAAGGGTATTAAGGAGGGTCCTTGTGATGAGCACTGGGTATTGTATTTAAGTGAGGAATTATTAAATTCTACACCTGAAATGAATATTAAAATGTATGTTAACTAACAGGAATTTATTTTTTAAAGATGTTATTTATTTATTTATGAGATATACAGAGAGAGAGGCAGAGACATAGGCAGGGGGAGAAGCAGGCTCCCCTCAGGGAGCCTGATGCAGGACTCAATCCCAGGATCCCAGGATCAGTACCTGAGTCAAAGACAGACGCCCAACCACTGAGCCACTCAGGTGCTCCAACTAACTGGAATTTAAACAAAAACTTGAAATTACAAAAAAATAGAGGAGTCTAAAATCAATGAAGTTAAAATCTAATCATAATCCATTCTGATAGTCCATTAACTGTGTTTACCAACAGTACCACTTGTCAAAAGGGAAGAAAAAAAAAACGAAGGTAATGAATAGTATAGGAACAAGTTTAACTTTCTTTGTTCTTTTTAAAGTATGAATTTCATGACAAGAAAAGTTTTATTACTGCTCAGCCTTTTAATGCTATGAAATTTTAGAAACAAAGTTTGTATGAGTTTCTCATGATTGATCCCATTGCCTTTTCACTTCCAGCTTTTGGCTACCAAGTGTCCCTCAGTGGGATGAAGGGAATTCTCTATGCTGGAAGAAGAGTCTTGTCAGTGCCCAGTGTGGCCTAGCTCCAGCTTCATAAAAGATCATAGGCACATTGAGCCCCATCATCCCTTCATTATATGAAAACACAAAGTGCTTTGCGTTAAACTTTTTTTCTTTTTGCTACAACTCTGAACCAGTAATAAACCCATTTTGAGATATTTAGCCAACTTTAAAAAGTTATTTTTCATTTCTTCTTACCCCATATTTCTGCTTAGGAAAAGTAAAAGCTAGAAAGAGATTTGAGAATTTCTTCCAACAGCTATGTCTGACCCAGTAAAAAGCAGGAATGAAATATACAGAATGATACAAATGTTTCTCTCCTCCAACTTAATATCATCTCTGTTATTACTATAAGGTGATGTTGGTGAAGGCAGTAAAATATCTTGGTTAAGAATATGAGTTCTGGAACCAGACAGATTTGCAACTCTTTAGTTCAAATCAGTGACCGGTTGTGTGCCTTTGGGTTACTGCCTTTCTTCTCCTCTCCTCCCTGTCTCAGCCTCTTTACATATCAGTGTGAAAGACAAAAGTATGAACTTCAAGGAACTATTGAGGAAACCAAGTGTGATAGTGTCCATAGAGCACTAAACTCTGTGTCTAGCATGTAATGGTAGTAAGCACTCAATAAACATTAGCAAATTTTAATACTATTGTGTAGTATAAGAATTCTTTAAAATCAGGAAAAAACAGCAAAACGGTCGTAAAATATTAAATAGCACATCACTCCTGTAAGCATTGATAAGTAAGATGCTAGTGCTATTTGTTACCATAAGCCTGTGGTGTGAAAACTATTACTGTCCTATTTAAAAGAAAGATGGCTTGCTTGAAAATGTTGGCTTCCATGTGTATTAAAATTGCAATTCCAATTTCAAGGATGTAATGCATCTTGATGTAGTTACTTACAGTCTATCAATAATGTTGATATCTAGCTGCCTGTGTTTCTTTTGTGTTCAAAATGTTGAGGTTTCTTAGAGGGTGGTCAGTAGCTACCAGGCTCAGTGAGAGAATCAACAGAGGGCCCATTTCCTAAGAAGACAATTAATTGGATGTAGGTAGGTAAATTTGCTGACTATGACCAAAGAACTCCAAGACTACTGCACTACAGATAATTTGCATGACTCCTCCCACAGAAATCTGGATACATCAATAAGGTCATATATCCAAGAAACGTTCCTACACATTATCACAGATAATCCATCTGCCTGCACATCTGACTGGATTGCTCATACACTAGTCAGTATACTCAACACAGTCGTATATAGCAACCTGAACTGATGATCAGTTGGTTTAAATGATCAGTTTGATAAACCCAACCAGATGTTAGGAGAAACGTCATAGGAAAAACTCTCATGGAAAGTCCTTTATCAAAATGCAAGATACGATCATATCACTTCATTTTATTGACTAGGACATGAAGACCCCAAACATGAGGTGTGGCTCTGCTAGGAAATGGCATAGCTGGGATAATATTTTGGCTTCTTCCTGGTTTCTCATCTTAAGGAAGTATTCTCCTCACCTGCCACCACTTCTTCCATATATCAAGTATGTTTCTGTATCTTGGCTATTGTGAAATAATGCTACAATGAACATGGGAGAGCAGGTATCTCTTTAATATGCTGTTTTAATTCCCTTGAAGTTCCTGTGTCATATGGTAATTCTATTTTTAATTTTTTAAGGAACCTCTGTCCTGTTTTCTGTACTGGCTGAACCAATTTATATTCCTACCAACAATGCTTAAGGGTTCTCTTTTCTCCACATCTTCACCATTACTTATTTCTTGTCTTTTTAATAATAGCCATTCTCACAGTAATGAGGTGATATTTCATTGTGGTTTTGATTTGCATTTCCCTGATAATCAATGATGTTGAGCACCTTTTCATTTACCTGCTAGTCATCTCTATGTGTCTTCTTTAGAGAAAAGTCTTTTTATGTCTTCTGCTCATTTTTTCAAATCACATTGTTGTGAGTTTTGCTATTGAGTTGTGTCATAGTTTTTAAATAATTGTGTCTGTGTCATTTGTTCAGAACGAACTCAGATTTTTTTAAGGAATCTATTATTCTATTGAATATCTGTCTCTTTGCTCTTCTTCCCAAAGGGAAATCCAGAAACAAAAAGAGAGGAGGACCTTACTTAGACTGTGTAATAGTCTGACTCCACATCTGATATTTGACACAGACAGTTGTCGATCCCCAACGCTCCTCCTCCCTTCAGCTCCACAATTGGCAAGCTGATAGAATAGTTCAGGTGTTTCCTTCTTTGGTGCCAGGAGAAAGTTCAAACCAATTAAGCCCCTATCCTCAAGGGAACCCTCATCCCAGCTACTACTACTCCCTAACCACAATAAAAACCCTAACCAGCCTCCTTTCCCTACTCTCAAACTTCTTTTCCCCAACCGCAATAAAAACCCTAACCAGCCTCCTTTCCCTACTCTCAAACTTCTTTTCCTACTCTTACACTTCCCAAACCCTATTTGGACTGCTAGGAAGCTACCTTGGTCTCTCATGAGTAATTAACCTTTAGCACCCTGTTGGTGCATGCATGGCATCATACGTCAGGACATCTGAACCAAATTTGGAGTGGAGTTTATTTTGTCTCTATGGGGTGTTCCAACAGACTGCCTCTAGGCATACATACAGCCAATAGCAAAGAGGAGAAAAATCTTTGATGGGATTTGAAATTGGTGTTTGAAACATATGAGTGGATTTCTAAGATTCAAAAGTAATTTTAAAAATTAATAGGTAAAAATTGTTTTAAATTAATAGGTGAAAATATAAGTGAAAAAATAGGTGAGACAGGTGAAGGTGGTTATGAGGTACAAAATTCTAGTTATAGAATACATAAGTCACAAGGATGAAAAGTACAATGTAGGGAACATAGTCAGTAATATTGTAATAATTTTGTATAGTGACAGTGACTACACTTATTGTGGTGAGCATTAAAAAAATTATAAAACCTGCTCATTTTTATTAAAGGACTGGAAACAAATAATATACTAGAGCATAGTTGGAAGCAGTGATTAGAGAAAAAGGTATTTTAGATTCCAAGTTGTGGACATTCAGTTAAAAAGTTATATTTATATTAGAAAGAAAAGCAATTTCAGTTCAAGTGATTTGATATCTATGCTTTTAGGATGACAAGGTTTGTTCCACCTAAATAATCACTCTGTGGAAATGAATAAACAGTATGACAGAAGTCTCTCATGAATGATCTACATTTTCAGTAATGCCAGAGTCATTATGTGATCTAGGAAAAAGGCCAATTATGCTTTTGGATGCTCTATCACAACACATAGCCTAAATTATTCACAAATCAAATTTCCTTAGAATTTCTAGGGTTTTCTATAAAGACTCATCATACTCATCCATTTATATAAACTATAAAAGAGTTTGTTGCCTTAACTCCCTATCCCCACAACCTAATATAGTGCTTGGCAAACAAGCCTCATTCAATAAATATTTGTTAAGTGAAACTCCAAACAAGATTTGTTGAATATCTAAATGTCAGACACTGTTCTAAATATAGATGCTAAATATTTTTGATTCTTTAAACACAGAATATTTTAAATAAGAATTAATTGGATGTATTTGGTTACAATGATTTCCCTTGCACTAAGAGTGTTCCAGAATACAAAGATGGGTGGCTAGAAGTCATGATTTATTCTATGACTTAAAATCCCTGGCCAAAATATTGAAAGGCTGAGGGATAGGCAGCTGGCCAAATCAGCCCAATTGCAATCATCCTCCAGAGATTGTTCTAATAGGAACAATGACAAAAAAGGTGGCCAGGCCAACTTTGGTACATAAAGGACATAGAGCTCAAGAGGTACAGACTCTTTATCCTGTGGAGGAAGCCAATCTTCAGTGGAAGAGAATGAAACTGGCTACAGGTAGAAGAGCACATTGATAGGTCACATCAGTAGCATGGTTCCTTACTCATCCCTATATGTGTACCTTTTACCTTGTGACTTTACAGTTTTCACAAGAAGCCAGAGTCTATTTACTCATCCCTTGAATCTGAGCTGGGCTATGCAGCCAATAACAAATAGTCTATAGAATGAAGACATCACAGTGAGCTAGTTCCTAGGCTTCATGTGTTTTTATTCTTGCTCCCATGCCTCTGTCACTGCTATAAAAACAGGTCTATTCAGCTATAGAGTTAAATACCCTGGTAGCTTAAGCTGACAGCCAGAAACCCTCAGATGCATGAGTGAGCCCAGGTGACATGTGCAAAGCTGTAACTGATTTCAGACATAAAATCAATAAATACTTACTGCTATGTATCACTAAGTATATAATAGCATTATTGCACAGCATTTTTATGGGCATAACCAATACAATCCTATATATATATATATATATATATATATATATATATATATATATGCGCCATTTGGATATCCTCTTTTATTAAGTGTCTATTCAAGTTCTCAGATGGGTCCAAGAAAAGTTATAAAGTTCTGATTTGTTGGGCTTTTTGTTATTCCAAGGGTAGAAGTTAAGCTCTCTCTAGATCTCTACATTCCTGAATCAACCACAACTGTACACCTCCTGACATTTCATTCTCCTCTAAATTCAGTATTTGGATAATTCATGAGTCTGTTTTTATCATGTGGGGTATTTTTTTTCTTAATTGCCAGTCACATATTCTTGCCTCTTCGTACATCTAGTAATTGTTTATTGCACGGAGGACATAGTGTAAATAAAAGAATTCTATGGGCTCCAGATAATATAATCTACCACCAGATAGAATTCCCCCATTCCTTAGGCAGACAGGATAAGGACTGACAAGCTCAATCCAAATCAGAGACTGAGCTATGTCAGGGTTCTGTCTATAACTAGCCTTCTCAGTTATACATGACCCTTCCAGGATTTTGAATGAGTGTCCTTCTCAGCCCTGAGATTCTGGGAAGGTTTAGAATTCCCCTTCAGTATTTCACAGCTTACCTCTGTCTTCCAATCCCCACCTACTTTCAAAATTTGGTATGTATCTTGAAAACGAGATTAACAATGTCTTAATTCTGGATGCTACCTGTAGTAAGTTCTGTTTCCTAAGAAGCATTGTGAGACTGCAGAGATTTCACACTACCTTGTAATAGTTTCAGCCTAGATTCTCACAGTACTAGACCTTAGCCTCTCTTGTTTCTGGTTTGTCACACCAGCCCTGCACAATCAGTGCAAGGTGTGCTGGTTTGTCTCTGCCTCCAGCAAGTCCTAGGTGAGAACCACTGAACATCATCAGTTGACCTCAGAGAGTTCTTTCACTTCAATCATTATGGATCATCTAGTCCTGTTGTTTTTAAAACTCTCTGATGTCTTTACAAAATGATTTTATAATTTCTCTGGCCTTTTCCTCTTACTTCCATGGAGGCATTGGCCTGTCATAAACTTATACATGCCATCCAAAAATAAACATCTCCTGCATCTATTCTTAACAAAGATTTTCAGAAAAAGGAAAAAACTAGCTAAGCTTGAATATGTTATTTTACAGAAATAAATTGGGAATATGTTTACATAAAAGTTTAAAAACTCTGATTAATCAAAAGATATTTTCCCCTTAGAGTTTGGAAATATCTTAAATATAACAATTTTCTTGAAAGTTTAAAAAATACTGTGAAACACAGGCTCAGTTTAAAACATGTGCCTTA